CTCCCAGAATTCCTCAGCCAGCAAAGCTGGCTGAGGAATTCTGGGAGTTGAAGTCCACAAGTCTTAAAGTTGCCAAGGTTGGACACCCCTGGTATAAACAATGAACATTTGGCCAAAAGTTTAACAAACCTAACTACTCCCAACAATAGGAGGGAGGGAGAGAGGGAGAGAGGGAGGGAGGGAGGCAGGGAGAGGGAGAGGGAAAGAGAAATTCTGATCAATGACCAGCTTTATTACCTTCATTTGTTATTTACCTTGAAAATTGGTGTGAGGTGAACTAATTCCAGGGGATACGTCTGAGCAAACTCCTTGGAAAAGTCCATATGTAATTATTAGCCTCATGTTGGAATTGGTAAGGTCACTTGACACCCAGTTTTTAGTTGCCAGCACAATGCAAACAATAACAAAAGAGCATAGGCTGGTGAAAAAAGCAGAGGCAAACATCAAGGTTTTTCGCCTGGATGGCATCGTGTTAGAAAGAGAAGAGGGTTTTCCTAGACTATAATAAGATTTCTCCACCGACACGGAATTCTGCAATTCTTTCAATGAGGATCCCAGTCTATGAAGGTTTTGCCACTCTTCCTAAAAATGAGAGCACATTGCCTACGCCACAAACTTTGTACTAACAGTAATGGTAATAAGGAAATAAAATAGCTGAACTTTGGTCTGCAGTAAAAAACATTACCATGGTGACAAGAAATATATCCAATTCATGACACGCTGAGACTTTTAAAACGAAGCCGCAAAGTTAAACTTTAGCTCCATATGGTGAATGATGAAACAATTATTTATTGAGTTATTCAGAATTCATGATATTTCTAAAATTTTGGGGGATGGGGCAGGTCATGGCTTTAAAAAAACACATGGCAAAGTAAGAATTACTTCATTTTGTAAGATCTGAATGGCATATACACTCCACCCTCTTTTAAGACGAAGTGGTTGTTTAGTAAAGTGGTTGCTAAATGAAAGCACGGTTGTGCTTACCACCTTACTTCAGTTTTCCTTGGTTTTTACAGGTCTGCAAAGATAATAAGTGCAAAGATTGGTTACAAAGTTAATTTTTCACCACTATTGTATCTGCAAATGGTCTGTACAAGACAGTCAATAAACAAGGACTTCCTGTATACCTTCCTGCAACCACTGAGTGCCAGTACTTAGATAGTTCCTAAAGATAATGTGTAGTACATAAAAATCTAACTTGTGATTTCACGTCAATTCCCAATAGAGAGTTTGAACCGTAGATTAACTATGATTATGGTTATCCATGTTTTAGGAGTCTCAATAAAGGACAAAACTGATCACATGGTGCTGTATGTTACTGTAGATACATAGTAGCCACACTTTCAATTATCATTAGAAATTGAACTATAAAAGTAGTGATACAAATATTTAAAAAATCATTGTTATATTAGGGAAATTCCTCAGTAAATACTCTTTAGGTTTCCTTGCATGTTGATTGCAAGGAATGCAGAATCCTTCTTATTTAAAATGAGATGCACAAAGAAATAGGAAGACTTAATGAATTTTACAATGTATACACGTAGAACATTAATAATGATAAAATTAATATACTCTAAACTGGTGTGAAGCTTCTAAAAAGGTATGATTTGGGAAAGATTCACTCAGATCATCATTTTTCCTGGATATTCAAATTGAAATTTTGAATTAATTTGAGACATAAAATAACATTCACAACAGTGTATGATAACATACATATTCTGAAACTTACATAAGCAGTATACTATATAACATGTCATTCTCAAAAAAGATTAAGTTTGCCAATGATCCAAGATAGCAAGACAGCAGTCTAGAAATTTAAGTGATAAAAAATATCTATTTTTTCTGTTTTAGTAAGTATAATCAGAGTGGCACAATGGCTCAGCAGTTAAAAGGCTGGGCTTGTCAGCTAGAAAACTGAGACTTCAGGTTCGAAACCCAAGTGCCACATGATGGAGTGAGCTCCCATTCTCACCCTAGCTCCTGCCAACCTAGCAGTTTGAAAGAATGTAAATGTGAGTAAATAAATAGGTACTTTGGTGGGAAAGATTACTGCATTCTATACTTTCATACTGGCCACATGATGATGGAAGCAGCTCACAGACAATGCAGGTCCCTCAACTAAGATCGGAGATGAATACCATCCCTCTGAGTCACTCACAACTGGACACGGGAAACCTTTATGCTTTAAGTATAATCAATTCCTCAGATACAGTGAGATTTACTTTCGAATACTAAGGTATAATATTGTACCATTCTAAAATATTCCGTATAATCACTAATAAAATATGAGATTATGGATATTCTCTTAAATATTCTCTTAATATCTCCTCCTTGAACCTGGGGTTTTAGATTATATTGACTATTAATGCAGTTTTCTTGATTACAGAATAAGTTGGTTTTGGGATAGCAAGCTGTCTGAAACCATGGTTTGTTTTTGATCACTTGATTGAATGGTTTTGTTTATGGCATCCTGGCTTACTTCTGATGGTTTCTATTGTGCCAACCCTCAGCCTAAATCATAAAGATGCAAAATTAGAGCAAATAGAAAAGATGGACTTGATCAAGAAAGCCAAGATAACAGCTATTCTGACATTTTTGGACTTTTCAAGTCACTGGCTCAAACAAAGCATATGATTAACCACAGTAAATCTTGTGAGTTCATGGCTGATACAAAGCTTACAAACTGGATTTCACATCTTCCAATCACTTACTTCAGAGTCAATGTTCAGGCAAATATTAGATAATTTAGTAGTAACCAGAACAACTTAAATAGGGTGGATTTTTTTTGCAAAATATAATATTAAATGTTATTCAACAGTTGCATATCATTGGAGCAGTAAAAAATCTCATTTATGCATAATAAAGTTACTCACAGAATATGCGTAGGAGTTGATATCATACATATGGATGGAAAAGAATATTTTGCATATATTTTATTGGCATAGCAACAAATAATTTTGCTGATTCAATCACCATCTTAATTTTGAAAAGATCAATTCACTACTAGCACCACACATTCTTTAAAGGGCTCATGACATATGCACAATGATATAAAGTGTATGGATTGTCAGATTTGAAGGAGAAAGATGACTGAAGAGTAACAAGTATTCCTCATGGTTTCATTGTGTTTTACATTGCCAAAGCTTTTGAATCCTTAAAACAAGGGTCCCCAAGTCCTGGTCTGTGGGGGGAACCCGGCTATGCAAGCAGTGGGTGAATACACAGAGTTTCATTTGTGATGTGCGGGATTACCAGTATACACAAAATCATCCCCTCTCCCATTGCAACCACTGCTCTCCCTTGCTACCAGTCTGTGGAACCAGAATGGTTGGGGACTGCTGCCTTAGAATAGGGGTGGCCAACCTTTTGGACCTCAGAGAACACCAAACTCATATTTTTTAATCCCATGGACCAGAGACCCTGGGAAAATTCTAAAAAAAGTCTGCAGGAAAATTCCCCACTCTGTTTTCCTACTGATGGTCATTCTTTATTTGGGATCACAGGATACTGTCTCCAGCTCTGTTCTCAGGGGGAGACAGAGACTTTTGGCTTCCTGCAAGGAAAGCAGCAAAAGTCTTTCTTTCTCTCAACTTTCTCCCAAACTCTGCCAGAAATGAGTCTTTGTGAGACTTGTCATGCCGTCGCAGCCTCTTGGAGCAAGATGCCTTACAGGGTCCCAAAGACTCATTTCTGGCAGAGTTTGGGGGAGAGAAAAGAAAGACTTTTGCTGCTTTCCTTGCATGCAGCCAAAAGCAGAAGAAGAAAGAAGCGAAAAGAAGCAGCCCAGGCGATGTGCGTGGGGTGAGTGGGGCAAGTTCCCCCTCCACCCTTTCCCCGTCCTCTCATGTTGTTCATGAAGCAAGAGATGCAAGCCTTGTGCTCCTGGGGGCCATGCAGGCGGTGCAGCCTTGTGTTCCCGCGCAGCCTGGATTAATTGTTTTGAGGGGTGCTTTGGGGGTGACATTTCTCTGTGGACCACCAGCATTTTCTCGCAGACTACCAGTGGTCTCCGGCCCACTGGTTGGTGACCACTGCCTTAGAACCTCTTATCACAAACTCCCTTGCATAATCATCACTCTTTCTCTCTCTCACACACACAGACACATAGTCACAGGTGCATATTTCAGCAAGCCAAAATGCCAGATCTTTTCTAAAAAATTAATAACTGCCATTCTAGTATTCTTTATGAAGGAAGTAAGAACACTGTAAAACTATACTTAAACATAATTAATTAATTATTTGGAAACTTTCCTAGCAACAATTGTACAGAACAACAAAAAGAGACTAGATTCCTTCAGTCTGCAATTTTTTCTGACAAAATCCTATAGGACTTTTGAGAATGGTGTTCTGATTATGTTAAATATATTTGCAAATCATCCTATGGAGAACAGTAGGCCAGTTTGCTTTGCATCTGCTAGGATAAAATTAGTGCAAAATCCATCAAATTTATTCAAGCCAGAGGGCAAGGCAGTAATGTTCTCAAACAAAAAAGGAGGTCTAAAACTGTGATAAATTGACTGAAAAATAAATGTGTTTTTCTTGAGATGATACTATGCCAGAATGTAGGCCATAAAATGAATAATGTGTTAATGAAATTATTTATTAAATGTCTCCTGTTTTTTTATTGCCAAATATTTGCACACATAAAACAGATTTTGATGGGTGTGGAATAGTCTAAAGACATGCTATAGTCATGACCTATTTATAAACATTACACAATAAAAGTTAACATTTGATATAATTCATTAATAATTAACATATTGGTGTTTAAATTTATATTTACTGAGGATTTTTCACAAAACAAAAAGCTAATCTAAAGAAAATGATAGGAAAGAAAAAGAAAAAGCAAGAAGCAAGACTACAGTTATGAAATAACTGCCTTTGGCTTGACTTTCTCTTTAACAAACTTGTCACCTCCCCAAGAAGTCTTAACTCTTCTAGAAATCTCTTCAATCCTTATTTAATTCTTTCAGTAATTAATAACGGTGATTGGAAGCTACAGGCACAGTGATAAAGAAATAACTCAGCTGGTGAAAATACTCCATCCCTTTCATCCATTTTCAATCCACCCTAGAGGTAACTTAATTGGCAGAAGCAGCTGTTCTTTTCTCTACTTGTTAAGTAATTCTTGACCAATAATTTTTTCCAATGTGTCCTCTTTTCTCATTTGGTATAGGAAAAGATGAGATGGATCATTGGAAAAGATACTGATGTTGGAAAAGACTGAGGGTGAAAGAATAACAGAATAACACACTTGGAAGGGACCTTTGAGGTCTTCTAGTTCAGCAGTGTCAAACTTGATTTCATTTAGGGCAGCATCAGGGTTTTATTTGACCTCGGGGGAAAGGAGGTGGGCATGGCCGTGGTGGGCATGACACGGGACTTGTGTCAGGGGCACCTGTGGTGGCTAAGTGCTAAGGCAGGATTTCCCTGAGACCCTCACTCTCATTATAATATCTTTCCTTCCTTCCTCCCTCCTTCCCTCCTTCCTTCCTTCCTTCCTTCCTTCCTTCCTTCCTTCCTTCCTTCCTTCCTTCCTTCCTTCCTTCCTTCCTTCCTTCCCTCCTTCCTTCCTTCCTTCCTTTTCTTTCCCTCTTCATTCTCCTTTCTTCTTCCTTCCCCTCTTTCCTTATTTTTCCTTCAGTGCTCTCTTTCCATCCTTCCTTATTTTTCTTTGTCTTTCCTCTTTCCCTTTCTCCTTTCCCCTTTCCTGTCCTTTCTTGCATGCTCAAATACAAAAGGGGTAACATTTCTCCTTTTGTTTTGTTTTTAGTTTGTTTTGATAGCCCGCTGTCAGTGAAAACAGAGCCCCCCCCATGCTGTTTTCAGCCACGATGGCCTCCTGCAGCCAATCAAAACAGCCCCCATGAGCTCCATTTTTGCTGGGCTGGTCCTTTGCTATTTCCAGGCCGGCATCATGGGCCCAGATTTAAGCACCCTTCTGGATGAGTACTATGGGCCTTGAGTTTGACATCCCTGTTCTAGTCCAACCACCTGCTCAAGCATACCCACCCCATACCAGTGGTGGGTTGCTGACAGTTCGGACCGGTTCTAGCAAACTGGTAGTTCCGATGATGAGCTGCCCCCCTGCTCTATCCTGTCCTAAATATCTGTGTTTTTGAGTTCAGCTGATTTGCGTGCCACAGTGGATTTCTGTGCTCAGCTGTTTTACTTACCAGGGCTGCCCTAGAAGGAAAGCTGTAGAGGTTGAAATTGTTTTTTTTAACGCTGCGTGTGTGCAAAGCACACGCTCACAGAAATGGTTGTTAAACTGGTTCCAGTCCACCACTGCCCCATACAATTTGAGACAAGTGGCTAGTCTGGAGAACAACACAACTTCTGAAATTCCACTGGTTAATTGTTCTCACTGTCTGTTGTGGCCCACCAGCATCCAGCAGAGCTGGCAACAGACCCGGACAGTGAGGAGGTTGGGGAGGCCAGTCCTGGAGTCTGGGGAAGGCTCTGATGAGTACTCTGCGTCGGAGGCAGAGATGGGGCCAGGGCTGTCTGACAGTTAGCAACTGCCTTCGGAGTCAGAGATCAGTGAGGTAGAAGAACAGCTGGAGCCTGTTCCCAGTGTGCGCATGCGCAAAACTGCCAGAACAGTTAAGGAACAAGGGTCGACTCAGGAGTAAAGGCTCAGGTGGGCGGTGAATGGCCCCTCCCATAGAAAATAAAGAGCAGTGAAAGGAGAGTGGTGTTTGCAGGAGATAATTTGTTCAATTCATTAAGGTGAAGATCTATTCCTGACTTCTTGCCAAGTAATTGCTGCTACAGCGTGACGTTTGGAAGATATCAGCCTGGCAACTGTCCAAGCCTGATAAAGGTCTTTAGTTGTGAAATCTCATGAAAGACTGTTTGCTGGGACTTTGCTGGAGAAGAATTCCCTTTAACCTAAATAAAAGAGGCTTTATCGGGACGAGGAGTCTGATTCATGATCTTGGGAAGCCTAGGTCAGAACTCTGTCAGGAAATTTTCCCTTAGTTTTAGGTTGAAGGAAAAGGGGATGGCAGAAGATTAGATGGCTAGATAGTGTCATTCAAACAATGAACATGAATTTGGGAAAACTCCAGTAGACAGTGGAAGTCCCGGGCTTGGCATGTTTTGGTTCATGAAGTTGCGAAGAGTTGGACATGGCATAGAAACTAACCAAACAACAAAGTAATTCTTAATGAAGAAAGAGAAAAATTGACACAGAGAACTTTGTTTATAAAAATGGAGTTGCATTCTTTAAAATTTGAGATGGGGAATGGAGAACATACCAGAAATAATTATAATTTTGAAGTAACTGTGGGCGGATAGACTTAGATTGTGAGAAAGAACACTGATCATGTATTTCTAAGCACAGTCCAACTCATCTTCAGATCTGAACACAGGTAAATGTTTTATGCATTACCTGATTTCTACAACCATAGTTTTCAAATAGGCCACAAAGCCTATTTACAAAGCACAATATGTGAACTCAGCTGGAACATCAAAGCACAATTTGTTGGTTGTAGATCAAAAGATGCTTTGGATAAAATATTGTTAATAGGGTTTGAAAAGATGTGTATGAGTGAATTTTTGACACGGAAATGGTTTCTCTAATTACTCTTTCCAATTTCCTTTTGACTTTTACCCATGCATCTTGGCCAGAATTCATATAATAAGTAGACATGAGGAAATGGCTTTTTTACAACATTCTGGATCATAAGAACTGTATCCAGTGGGATGTAAAGACAGAAGAAAAATAACAGAAAATGAAACATACAAATTGACAGTGTTTACAGTAGAACTTTAAAAATAAGTTTATTATATACATGTGCGGAATTCTTTGATCAAAGCTATAGACTAGCTGATGGTTTGAATGATATCTTAAACAATCATTTATTGTCTAGAGCTAAAGTTGAGTGTGATATGCACAGTTTGACAGTACATTTTCCCTGAATATTTTCTAGTCTAGTCTATTCCTGGTAGAGAAACTTGTCTGAGGTTGGAAGGTAAGTGGGGCTGAATTTTGTTACTATTTTAAGGGGGAAATGCCAGAGCTGGATTGTAAAGTCAAATGAGCTTTTCAGAAGAAAGTGGTGGCAAATAACACCTCCTTCCTGTCAAGAAAACTCCATGGATGGAGTTAGCACCAGGAAATAAGCTAGGCCTTAATTTTTCCCATCCAACTGCTATTCAAGGGAAACTTGGCTTGGCTTCAGAAATCAGCCAAAGTCTCATCTAATACAGGTAGTCCTCAATTTACAATAGTTCATTTAGTGACCATTCAAAGTTACGATACTGAAAAAAGTGACTTATGACCATTGCATGGATAAGTGACTTATATCTGGATGCTTGACAACTGACTTACATTTATGAGAGTCGCAGTGTCCCGGCATTATGTGATCCCTTTTGTGACCTTCTGATAAGTCAATGGGGAAACCAGATTCACTTAACAACCATGTTACTAATTTAACAACCGCAGGGATTCAGTTAACAAACGTGGGAAGAAGAGATGTAACATGGGGTAAAATTCACTTGACAAATTTCCACTCAGCAACATAAATTTTGGGCTCCACTGTCGTCAGTTGTAAGTCGAGGACTCTTCTTTCTCCTCTTCTCTTTCACATCCCCTCCTTCATATTTTGGCAAGGAAGCATTTTTAGATGAATATCATCATCCTCTAGTTATAAGGGAGAGAAAGTGAGCCTTTGAAATAGGGCCTTCCTCAGTTTGCCTGGACAGTCCGTTCCCGATTGTCCTGTCACAGGTGCGAGAAGGCTGCTGCTGTTCTCCAGGTGCCTTTTTCCTAGAGCAGGTAAGGTATCTCTGCAGCTGCTGCTGCAACGGCGCCTCTCCGACAGCAGGCGGCTCCTCTGCTCCGCTGGCACCGCCTCTGAATTTCGGCTGCACACAGAGGGAGGCAGGCTGGCAGGCAGGCGAGGGAGAACGGAAGAAATTTCCTGCTTGGTTGCGAACGGGATTCCTGCAGCCGCGTCGGGTAGGGTGAATGCCAGGGCGTCCCCTGCTTGCTGCCTCGGTTCGCAACCGGCGGGGTGAGGAGGGTATGAGGAGCCGGCGTGCCTCGAGAAGCCGAGCTGGGCGAGTCCCTGGAAGGTAAGCGAAGCGAACAGGCGGCGGGACACGAGGCCGGGTGGCCAAGCGGGGCAACGAGGTTTGGCTGGCCGCCGCCTAAGCTCTCCCCACCGCCGGGACTAAGGCCAGCTCTGGCTGTATCTTCTTCTTCTTCAGCGCAGCCAGAGGTCGGGGCGGAGAGCTGGTTTCTCCCACTCAGCCCAGTGGCGCGCCAAGGCATGGACCGACGCGACCCCTCCTCCCCCTCGCCGCAAAGAGGCTCCGGCTGCCCCGGGGCAAAGGGTGCCCTGGCAGGGAGGCTGATGAGGAGGCGAGCGGGGGAGAGGCTGGGGCGCCGTACCCCGCGTTGCCTTTGCTTGCTTGCTTGCTTGGCTGGCTGCTCGCCCGCCCGCTCGCCCGCCCGAGGTGGGAGTGTGAGGAACGGAAATGGCATTTCCCTTGGCAAAGCAAGCGCCATGAAGGAGGGAAGCCAAAGCAGTTCCCAGGCAGGTGGCGGCCGGGTAGGAAAGTCGCCTGGTGAATTCGAATGAAAAACGAGCCCAGTCAGCTGCCTAGGCAGCAGAGTGGGATGTGGGGCGGCAGTGGGCGGGGAGAGGGGGGTGAAGAGGCTGCCATGGTAAATGGAAAGGTCTCCATCCCCACCTTCCCCCCCCCCCCCCCCCCAAGGTCTGAAGGGTATGTTCTTGGTATCCTTCTTGGTCTTGGCTGGCTTTACCTGAACAAAATGAAAGTTTTTAGGGATTTCAACAGGGTCACATCACATTCCTATAGACTCCTCCCTCCTGCTTTACCTCAGACTCATGAGAAGAGGAATGAAAATGGATTTGCATTTAAACTACAGTGAGGGATAACCTTTGGTATCCAGCTAGCATTTTGTTTCCCCATTTTGAGCACTTAGCTGTTTGCGTGTATCCATCAAACTACTGGTAAATAAGGTTGGGTAAAGGGCAGGGGGGGAAATTACAACCTTCTAAGGTAGTTCACTCTTGACCACACGATGGGGGGCAGTAGTTGGCGGTGGTGTGAAATGGGAATGGAGACACTGACACCACCATCCTATGCACGCACATCCTATGCACACTTCCTCAGAAGTACATAGCGGTATTCTGTAGTGAAGTTTCCCTTTTAAGTGACTTGAAGATGGTACATCTATACAATTTTGGGCTGGGGAACTTAACAACCTAATGCTTCCGGTCTCTGCACCTGAAATTTGGAGGTGTGAATGCTGGCTCCAGTGAGAAACATTTGATACAGCTTGCAGGCTAATTTTCAAGAGATTAATTACTGTATTACTATGTTACTTTGAAATTCTCAGAGATTAATTACTGTAGTACTGTGAGGTGGCCAGGTTAACAGTGGCACCACATTTGATTAATTGCATCTCCTGCATTTTGGCTAAACAAGGGAGATTTGGGGGCAGTTAACAAAGATACATTTTTGCATGGCTTTTGGATGAGCCTTTTTATTGGAGTTTTTAGCTGTTATTCATCTCTTACATCGTAGGTAGGTATTTTTTTAGTATATATTTTATTTTAGTTTTTAGTTTACCATATATTTTAGCCTATATGGTATAAGGAATCTGCCAAGCACCTATTTGATATGCTTTGGTTGGATTTCTTTTCTTGTAGTGGTATTGAACACAATGTGTTAAAAATCTTTATATTGATTTGTGGGATTTATTTTCTCAGTGTTTTCTCTGGAATGGAGAAGTCTGAGTTTAGATGAGTAATGGCTGAGATTCAGTACTGTACTATTGTTCTGCTAGATCTTGGGTCTCCTGGACAGAGAGTCATTTAAATGGTTACAGGTTAATTTAATTGCCATTTTCAAATATATTCTGTGTTATAATAAATGTGTCTCATAAGACATTATGAATGTACATTACCACATATAATCAAAAATACTAAAATAAATTGAAGACGATTCAACTTATATACCAAACCTGTTTATTTGTGATTATTAAATCTTGGTGTTTCTACATAGCATTATAGTACACAAGATATTTATTCAGCCTTGAAGAATTAATGTAAGTTTATGAGTGTTTCATACCTTATATTAATATTGCCCCTCCCCAAATGCTTAACAGCTTGGTGTGCATTTTAAATTATCTCTTTGAGTGGCTAAAACAGTGCAATAGCCATATCATCAGTAAAAATCAACTATCTTTTAGGAGTGAATCTGAAGAAAAGGGAAAGGAGCAACATGTAATAGTCATGTTGCCTATTCTTGATTTAAGACAGAGGTGTCAACCTCAGCAGGGTTGTGCTTGACCTCGGGGGCGGGAGGCATGGCCAGGGTGGACATGGCGAGCTCCACACCACTCATTGAGGCTCCATTTTAGGCCACAACGGCCTCCTGCAGACCTCTGCCAGTTAAAATGGAGTGCATGGGCTCCCCAAGCTCCATTTTCAATGGAAGAAGATTGCAGGAGGCTGTTGCAGCTGAAAACAGCCTGGGCAGGCCGTGTGCAGCCCTCCCAAGCTCTGTTTTTGCTGGCAGAGGCACCGTGGGCCAGTCCTTTGCTGTTTCCAGGGTGGACCCATGGGCCAGGTCTAAGCACCCCATGGGCCAGATCCGGATCATGGGCCTTGAGTTTCACACCCCTGATTTAAGATTTGATAATCATACATTTTAAAAAGTACCTTTGTCTGATTAGTACAGCTAATTTTTAAATGCAGGAATATACATTAAAGACTCTCAAACTCAGTTTCTGTCTGAACCCTGTTTAACTCACCATCTCTTTAGGTAATTTTTTTTCATCTTTATTGTTGTTATAGTTCCAATTTTTTTTTCTATGTGACCATCTTCAGGTACTTGAAAAACACTTTCATATTTTTCCTGGTCTTCTCAAGGATAAATATATTGAGGTCCTTCAGTCATGATTTCTAGTTTGCAAATGAGAATCAACGTAAATGTTTATGCCTGAACCTGGCTATACCCACTGAAGTTTGTGTTCTTCAGAGCTATAGGCTTCTAAGGCAGAATCTATACATTATGAACAGTTTCAGACTGCCAATAATAAACATTTTTTTAAAAAAAGTTGTACTATTCTGTGCCATTTTCCCCAGAATCAGTGGTAAAAGTTACTTATTATTACATTTATATGCTACTCCTCTCTCTCTGAAAAGTGACTCTGTCTCTTGACATGGTTTTGTACACTGTGGTAGTGGAAGAAGCTAGTTACATGGAATAGGACTAGACATGAGTATTGTGTGGTGATGTAAAGAGATATATTTTGTAAGGTAAAAGATTTATATAACCTGATGAGAAACCAAAGAATATAATAAATGTCAATGTCAGCATTCCAAGTAACAACCTCCAAAGAAAGAGACTCCAAGAATATCATCTTCTCAAAGATCCACTTTATTAGAGATGTCATATTGGCACATCTGGGGAAAACCCAAATCTGAAAGTTCTGGGCTTTCTCTAACCCCAAATCCAACCACTGCACACAATCATCCATCACATTGTCCCATCCTCACTTTGTTCCAACTGAAGGCAACCCCCAGTCACTCCCTTCCAGGTGTAGGGTAACATGTCCTTGACTTCCTGAGAAAGGAATGTTGTTCTGGTTAATCTTCCACCGCTCCTTGAATTCCCCTCTCCCAAATTCCCAGGCACTGAATGTGGCAGCCCAGAAGCCTCAAAGGAAAAATGGTTTCCAAGATGACAGTCACATGGTGCTAGAAGTTGGCTTTGGAAGTAGTCATGAATTTTTGTAATATTTAATAATGGTCTGGGTTTTAGTTCTGTCTTTTCGTAATACGTTGCAGAATACAGAAAATTGGCTTCAGGATTACAACTATATGGGAAAAGTAAACTGCAACAATCTAGAATTATAGATATGACAGCCAATCTATGTGACAAATTTGTCAGCCAATATGTTCATACACCACTGTTATGCATTGTTGTTGAAAATCAGAAATGATATTATACCAGACCTTTCATCTGTGTTCCAGGGATGCTTAAATCTGTCAGTATAGAGCAATCTACTGGTATCAGTTTTGAGCAATCTATTAAAGTGTTACTTAATGAGTTTTTCTTGTGATTTATGAGAATTTTATGCTTCCAATACTTTTCAAAGCTACCTCTGGTCTGGATAGGAGTTGGTTCAGAACTTGAAAGTTGGTAGCTAATTTTGTTAGATGCATGGTATGGATTTCTAATTAAAAGTGGAACATTAATAAGTGGGAATCTACATTTTATTGTTTTTATGATATGTTTGTATTTTTGTCCTTTGTTTTATGCTGATTATTGTAAGCCCGACTCTATGATTGAGGTAACAAGTGCATAAATAAACAAATTTAAAGTAACATTTTATCTTTATATTCATAAATTTCAAATATGCTATCCAATTAAAGGAGCAATTTATAGGTCTGTGCTTATTTTACAATTACATCTTGTAGAGCAAAGTTATTGTGTGGGTCATTGAAAGCAGAACTTGTTCATTGTTGCATTTCATTAATTCCTGGTATTTAAACTCCCTTAGTACTGCACCAAACAATCTTACCCTGTTGAGTAGCATATAATACTTAGGGGTATTAATGTGACAAACGAATTTAATTAAATCTAGTGGCATCTTTGCCGGGTATGTCTAATATGTATCCTTTTTTTTGGTTAGCATTACAGGTTTTTTCTTGGTTGGAAAAAAATAAGACAAGCTTATATTTACCAATGCAAAATTATAGTTTCATTTTGTTTATGAATCCAATAGTGGCAAGATTATAACTGACACAAATTTTAAAAAAGTTTTTTTCTAAACCTTTATTATGCAAGCCATAGTGTACTGTAGTGTAATACTAAAAATTATAATGAATCAAAAAGAGTGTCTTGAAGAATCTTGATAAGAAAAAAATGCTTATAATCTCAGTGTGTATATCTAGCCAATTCTGTTTCATATAATATTTTGTGTTTGTAAATAAATCTCACTTTCTCTGTTTTTGCTTAGCCTTAAGTAGTGATATTTTCATTAAATATTTAATTCTAAGAGCTTTGGAATACCTGGACATAAATGAATAGTC